CAGAGGATCTTTGGGTAAAAGGTGGCTCTGGAAGATAACACTCTGACCGCCAACTAGTTTTAGCTGGAGGGCTACTCTGAGGAAGGGATGGGAATTGGAAGGCCAAGCTGCTTCCCAGTCCTCAGAGTAGATCGTCAGCAAGTCACACTATCATTTCCTCCATCCCCCTCCCCATTGCCTCAGAGTTGGATCTAGTTATTTATTGAGTAACTGTATTTGCCCCTGGGCTTCCACATGCTGATCTCTACTGGGGAGTTGTTCATGTGTGGGTCCTAAAAAAGTCATAACTATTGCTGCAGAGTACAATGGAATGGGAGATAGGGACCTGGTAACCTTCCAGGAGAGTGTCGCACTAGCAGCTGCTATCTGTTCAGCAGCCATGGCCTGCATGACACTAAAGCAACAGCTCTAAAATCTTTGCCACCACCTCCTGTAAGGAAGCTGAATCCTCCTCTCTATCCAGTAGAGTTCCAATTAACTGTTTTTGTCCCTAATGTAAACATGCTTTTTTGTCTCAGCTGCCATCTTGTTCATGTGTGCTTAAGCTGTGTGTTTATGTGCTGCCCTGCCTGTCTTAACTTTCTAATAGAGCCTCTTTTTTAGAAACAGTTGTCATTTCTTGGACTCTGATGATGTAAGCAAGTTGTTGTTTCCCACTAGTATGTTACATGCTTTCATAAAGATTTGCAGTTAATGGGACTTGACAGTGTAGTGCTTAAAACGTCAGAGGCCTCTTAAGCTCTGTCTTCAGAAGAATGAATGCTTGTGTTTCCTGTGGTGCAGCTCTTATGATGTGCCAGAAGCCTAATAGAGGGTGGTATTTCTGTTGTCCACATGTGCTGTCTAAGCTTCTGAATGCCACATCACTTTAGAGTCCCCTGGAAGTGAGGCTCAGTAGCCCGCCTCATACTTTCAGTCATTCTAGGGGAAGAGTACCATCCATGGGTCAGCCATACTGAAGACGATTGCAAAGTGGTAACCACATTAGCTTGTTACAGCAAAACAAAACTCCAGCGGCACCTTGAAGACTTATAAAGTGCATTTCAATATGAGCTTTCTTTGGTCACAGCTGACTTCCTCAGATATCCAAGGAAGTGAGCAGTGACTCATGAAAGCTCGTATTGAAATATTGTTAGTCTTTAAGGTGCCACTGGTCTTTTGTTTTGTTAGCCATACCAAAGGACTACTTGCATTCTTGGCCCAGTGAGAACAAGTTTATTGTGATGGGGTGATGAGGAGTTAGGGTGCCTTTTATTTTGTTCAAGGTTATTTTAAATCTGTGATTTAAATAAGATCACTAAAGAAGACTTTTTAGATTATTTAACTCTATTGTATCTTATAATTCATAGTAATTGGTTTGTAAAACAATTGAAAACATATGGTTTGCAACTAAATAAAACCCTTTATGTAATTTAGCAGCATAATCCAAAACCTTTGGACATATACTATGCATGCCTTTTGCACTCAATAATTATCAGCTTACAGACAAGGTGGGTGATTATGGAATTAATGGGTTTCAGCTTGGCACTCGCTGTACATAAGCAAGGCACAACGTTTACTTTAGTAATGAGGAAATGCTCAAAGCCCTTTGAAGGTGAGACTACTACTTGTTGTCCAGTATAGTGTATTTCCACTACATAGAAATTAAGGGCATAGTCCAGAATGTTTTGATATCATTAATTTCTAAGGGAGAATAAAAACACAGCCTCTTATGGATTTATAATTGCTATGTGGTTGACAGTTGTTCATAATGTGCCATGATAGTGTATATATAACCTGTTGATTCATGTTTATAAAGTTTGACATCATGTTTTAGCTTTCAATAGAAATTTATTGATTCACTTTTAAAAGATACTTATATTTTAAATAAAAAAATAGGATCTGATTCTAAAATGTTCTTTTGGTTGATTTTTATCAATCCTGTGAAAGAGCAGCAGCGTGGAGCACTGTGTAGGTTGACATGGCTCAGTGGTACAGTATCTGCTTGGTATGCAGGAAGTCCCAGGTTCAGTCCCTGGCATCTCCAGCTAAAAGAATCAGGTGGTGTAAAAGTAGGTGATATTAAAGACCTCTGCCTGAGACCCCAGAGAGCTGCTGAGTAGACAGTACTGACCTTGATGGACCAATGGTCTGATGCAATATAAGCCAGCTTCATGAGAAAGTGGATTCTATTGGACTTGGCCGTCAAGAGATTACTTTGATTCATTATTTCTATAATCTGTATTTTTTTTAAAGTGGTTTGTCTATTAAGAATAATTCTGTGCTTTTGTTCTTGCATACCAATTTGAGAATTTAATGGATCCATTCGACTAAAGGCTGTGCTTTCCCTCAGTGTAAGGAACTTTCTCTTGGTGCAGCAGGCTCTTACTCCAGCAGAAGAACCTCTTGCATTGGGTAAGGCTTCCTGTGTTCAAGGAAAGCACCGCTGTTAGTGGAACAAATTCATGAGTTTCAGTAATAGTCCATGACAAAGTTTAATGTCTGATAATATCTGAATGCAGTACAGAGTCCCTGTTAATTCTCCAGCTAAGTATAATAAATTGGTATTTAAGTTGAATAACACTTTTGAACCCAGTTCTTACTGGTTGGCCTTATCTGTAGAAGTTACAGAAATCTATACTAAGCATTTATTAAACAAGGGTTAATTGGACATGAAGCAAAGAGTATTACAGTGCAAATTCAAATAGATTAATAGAGAAAGAACTTCATCTCAAGAAACAGCTTATTACATCTTACTCAGAACTATATTGCCTAAGGACATAGTGAACAATGTGTTTCTCTTATAGAATTCAAGAACATTTGACACAGTTGATAAGATTGCTTTGATTGAAGTTCATTTATATTTCTTCCAAGACCAAGATAATATCATGAGGTTGGCAATTTAATCAGAAAGCCTATAGGTCAATAGATTTTCCTCAATTTTTTGAGTTAAGATACAAATAAATGGTAATACTAATAATATATTGTTCATGTTTTTTTTATCCTTGAGTCTATTTAAAAATTCACAAAAAAGATTTTGAGCTGTTATTTATTGAGTACATTTTTATGCTGCCCTTCCCCCAAGGAGCACAGGGTAATATACATTATTCTCTCCTCTCATTCTTTTTGAGACTGATTCTCCCAGTTCCCAGTCTAACACTCTGTCCACTATACCACACCATGGCAAACGTTATAATTTCAGAAAGCATCATCAAAGGCTTAATGTTTACGTAAATCTATATATCTAATTCCCAACATGCCCCCTCCGTGGGGATATCTAAATCAGCACATCGGGGGCACTTGAGGGGCAGGGAGGTTTTCCTGCACATTTGGGGCAATCCCCATATGTGCAGAAAAAACTGAAAACTTTGAAAAAATATGCGGGGGATATTTAAATCCCCCCAAAAGTAAAACAGCGTTCCCTGCGCAGGTGCAGGGAACGCTCTGAGAACAGCTTCGCCGCCACCAGGGAGGGGGCGGGAGAAGGCTTGGCCGGCGGGTGGCTGTAAGCTGCTCAGCCCTTGCCGCCACCCGGGGGGGAGGGGAGTAGAAAGTTTGGCGGGCTGGTGAGGCCTCACCGCCGCCGGGGAAGGGGGGAGGGACAAAGTTTGGCAGAGGGGAGAAGACTCACCTGCAGCTGCTTCTTTCTTTCATGGAGCTTCTCCCCCCCACCCCCGTGAGTATCACGGGTCCCCCTTCTTGTACAGATATAATAGACAACCTTTCCCTCCCTTTTGTCTCTAGAGCTCTGTTTTCCAACTCTAATTCTCAGCAGTTCCCTTGCTATTGTGCTGCCTGCATGGCCTTGCAAGGAGCATGTGGAATTTGTTAGTTGAAATAGTCAACTGTATTTTGTTTTATGTTGTTGAGCTGCTTGCTTCTGGAAAGAAGTTCTCCAGTGAACTGTTTGGGGCTTTTTAAGTCTTGGAAGTATTTGGGGAAGTATGGGCAGTTTCAGATTACCATCTCACCTGCCATCCATATATGGGCTCCATATATCTGAAAAAAACAATGGCAGGTGATGTAGACTACAGCAGTCTTTCATTAACAATTATGTCCTGGGGGAGTGAATGCAGGCCTTTTCCTGGGTCAGTTCCTATGTTCTCAGTTGTAAGCTATGGCAACTAACTGGATGCTGTTTGATGTCCTAATAAAGTCAGTCCTATTATAGTCCAACAAAATTCACCTAGGAATATTTATGTAAAACATACCAGTTTGTAAGTTTAATTGTGACACTGGACCAATGATATAGTACATGCAGTGATTTTGACTGATGGTAGTTGTGAGTTTATACCAAGGTTGAATATTGTTGGTGACACCTGAACACAGTAGAAAAAATTGTTTCACAGAGGTTTGTCCCAAGAATTCAGAAATATTTGGGTTACGTTCTAGAGATTTTTATCCAACTAGTAAACTTTTCATATTAAATAGTATTTGATGTTTAATACTCATTTTATGTAATGTATGAATTTTCTATTAATGTATTTTGTTTCAAATTATTGTTAAGCAATTTCTTAGGCAAGAATGTGTAATTTATTAAATTGAGTATAAATATATCTTGCAAGTGCAGCATGTGCTCTTGTAAGGCACACTTTGCTGTAATGGAGTTAGTAGGCTAGCGCTTGTCATGCCATTATTCTCATTACTGAGCCAGCATACTTGACTGATTTGCTTTAGTAGCATTTTATTATCATCATACAACTTGGCTTTTCATAATGCATTTCATACTTTTTGTCTGCTATAATGCTGTTGACTGTTCTTAGGAGTTCCTTTTAAAGGGGGTGATCTGATATTTTATAAGGAGAAATGGATTTATGTTGCATACATATGTGCCTGATAACACAAGGGAGTGGAAAGGGATCCACCTTTGCACAGAGGAACTAGGATGAAGCAGCAAGCTTTTCTAAGGGGTCTAATTTTTAGTAAGCATAGTTCTAACCTGTAAAGTTCATTTGTGTTGTGATACCTCTGGAAAAACAATCCTAAAAACTTGTCTATTTATGCTTATTTTTTAGCAAATCCAGTTTGCAGATGATATGCAAGAATTCACAAAGTTCCCAACCAAGACTGGTCGCAGGTCCCTATCTCGTTCCATTTCACAGTCTTCCACTGACAGCTATAGCTCTGGTAGGTGTCTGCCTCTGTTTTCCTGTATTTCCTATTTAGTTTGTACCACTATGAGCATTAATCTATGCCACTTTTCAGCAGCTGAAAGTGTTGTAGCACCAATAGTATATATAGGGCTGGATTGGGTTCTTCACATTTCTTTCTTGATATGATGAAAGTCAGTGACTGACTTGGTAACAGCCTGTCAAGGTGGGAAAGTTCTGTGTGTTTCAGTTTCTGATCTAGAGAAGAGGGTATATTTTGGGAAGCTGGTATTAATTGGGCTTCCTCTGCTTCTAAAGTTAATTAGTTCTCTCTTGGATTCAGCCTAATAGACACCACCAATACAGACAGCAGGCATACATTGCCGCAGCTGCAAAGGTCAATCATAGTTTGCTTTTCTGTTTTAGAATACATTAGATTGACTTTTTATACTTGTGGGAAACGATTGTGCATTTTTCCTCTGAGTCACTGGTACTCACTTCACAGCTTGCGGAGAGCCACATTCCAAATTACCATCAATGAAAAGAGCCACGTGACTATTATATGCCCTGTGCACCATTCTGCCAAACACCCACACAAAATAATATAAGATATCATTATTACTAATAATATATATATGGATAATCTGTTTACCAGTGTACCTCTGAGCATGTTTGGTTGTCTCTCCCTGCTGAAGCTTAGCTAGCCCTTGTGTATCTGGAATGAAGGGAAGAGAGCAAGAAGACAGAAATGGAAATAAAGGGCAATCAGAATTCTTCTCACTGCAGGAGTCTGTTGGGTCAGGCCATGAGAGTTCCCATGGGAAGCACCATACCAGTACTGCAAGCAGGATCCTGCAGTGGGAAGCCTGTGTGTACCCTTCACTTCCCTCACTGCTGTCTTACTCTCTGTCCCTGGCACAAGGATCACAGCTTAGACGAGAGTGAGATGGCCAGAGTTATTCTGCCTCGTGCCAAGGAGAGCACAAAGGCAGCACGGAAAGTAAAAGGTGCTTAGCCTTCCTACTACAGAAGCTCGCTCTGAGCCAGCCAGCAGCATTATGAAGCTGCAAGAAACTTGTGCACCCTCTAGAAGAAGAAGAGGAAGAGATTGGATTTATACCCCACCCTTCACTACCCAAAGGAGTCTCAGAGCGGCTTACAAACTCCTTTCCCTTCCTCTCCCGACAACAGACACCTTGTGAGGTAGGTGGGGCTGAGAGAGCTCTGACAGAAACTGCTCTTTTTCAAGAACAGCTGTGCCAGAACTATGGCTTGCCCAAGGTCATCCAGCAGGTGCAAGTGGAGGAGTGGGGAATCAAACCCGGTTCTCCCAGATAAGATTCCACGTACTTAACCACTACACCAAACTGGCTCTACTTTCCTCTGACTTCTTGTTCTCTTTCAAGCATGAGGCCACCAGCTGCACAGGTGAGAGAGAGAGAGAGAGAGAGAGAGACTGCCAAAGTGGCCAGAGGAGAGCATGCTAACCATGGAAAAATGGGATGAAAACCATCACCATCCCACTGTGGCTAGTTGTTCTTTTCCCCGATAGCTGCTATGGTGGTGGTGGTTTTACCCTCTCTTCTATAGTGGCCAGGGGAGAGCATGCTAACCATGGAAAAATGGAATGAAAACCATCACCACCCCACTGTGGCTAGTTGTGGTGGTGGTGGTTTTACCCTCTCTTCTATGTGGCCACTTTGCTGTCCTCCTGGCAATTCCCAGATGTTGTAATGAGAGTGTAGAAGCTGTGGAGAAAGTTGGAGGGTTGATGGAGAGTAGGGACTCTTCCATCCTTGGCACAAGGTCCATACCTAGGGTTGCCAAGCAGTGTTCCCTCTAAGCTGAGTTGGTGTGAGCTAGCTCACAGTTTTTTAGCCTCCAGCTCACACATTTTTGTGTTAGTTCAGGAAGGATGGCTCCAGAGCAAACTAATTTATGCCATAGCGAAATTGCTCACTCACAACTCTAATGCCAGTAGCTCACAGAGTAGAATTTTTGCTCACAAGACTCCACAGCTTAGAGGGAACATTGTTGCCAAGTACTTACAGCAATCTGGCAGGGGACACATGCTCCCCAGCCAGAACATTTCTCCTTGTAACGCACCATGCCGTCACCAGGAAATGACACTGGGCAACGCTCTGGCAATGGGGCTGAAAACTCGATGGTACCATCAAGTTTCTGGCCCCATTGCCAGAGTGTCGCCCGGCGTCACTTCCTGGCGATGGCATGGTGCAGCACGTCTGTTGTCCCCGCAGGAATGATCCTGCGAAGACATCTTCGTCCCCCGCCGAATCACTGTAAGTACTTGGGAAGCCTGTCCATACCTCAGGGGAGGCCTCCAGTCCCTCTGGAGGTAGCTATTCCCAGGTAGAAATAGAGCCGTAAAAATCTTGGAAATGTTGAAACCACAGGGTAAAAAGATGGGGGGGGGTAGAAATTTTTGGGGGAATGACCATACATAGAATATTTACTCTCCTATGAAACCTAAACTACTTTTATTGATTCAACAACATAAAATGAATCATTTATGAGCATATAAAACTGTAATATTTAATATTTATGGAAATTAAAATCATACATGAAAGTATACCCAGTACTTGAGAAAAAGTTGTAAACTGCTGCACCTTAGCACATATTTGTTAATTTTTGCCATCTGCAACGAAAAGATTGATGGTAGAAAACAAATTCTGTCGTAAACAAAGTATTTGGATAGAAATACTCTTATATGGTTACAATATGTATTTTTACCAGCATATTTGAATATTGCTAAACTTTGTAACATTGAAAATTCTGAACTTCTTATTATGTATTATCATTAAACACATAACATATTTAAACAAAATATCTTGAAAATACTGTGTATGTCTACAGTATACGTAGAAATTATTATCTAATGCTGTAGATTGTTCTGTAGAAAAAAAATCATAATGCATATCTGGAGTAAAACTGTCTTCCATTTTTCTCATTCCAAAAGGGGGGAAAACATAAGATTTTTCCAATGTTCTCCAAATTTCCCAAGTTTTCTATTAGAATAATTGAAACGGTCTTCAGACTTTTTCATGCTGTGTATTTTGAACAAGAAATACCTTACCATAAAGCATTTTACTTATTGTATAAGAAAAGCAATTTTATTTTTAATGCTCCCCATAGCTTCCTAATGTTCCCACTGGAAAAACAGAGATGATCCTCAGAGTTCTTCATGCTATAATTGGAATAAGTGAAATGCTTTTTAAGACAAAGGTTTTCTCTCTCAAAAAGAGAAAATATTTCATAGGAGATTATTTCAGTGCTTCCCAACATTTCTCATATTTTTCCATTAGAAAATTGTGTTATATTGAAAAATTGAGAAAGTTCTTATCCTGATTCCACCAGCTTCTTAACCCTTCAATGTGTGTGTGAGGGGCTTTGAACCTGCTTATGGGGAATCCTGATTCCCCCACCCATTGGCCAGACTAAACTCCCTCCCAGTGGTCCAGCTCACTGAAAGTAGGGGTTGTGCATGCAGGTTTATGGATCCAGGTGGGTAGCTGTGTTGGTCTGAAGCAGTAGAATGAAGTTTGAGTCCAGTGGCACCTTTAAGACTTTGTTGGTCTTAAAGGTGCCACTGAACTCATGTTTATGGAATTACTTTTTCCCTTTTACTAAATTTTATAGCTTGACTAGGTATTGAGTATCTAACTGTGAACAAATGGTCATGCTTGTGAATGAGTTGCTTATGTACAGTGTGGGATCTTTAAAATGAAAAGGGATCTTTATTTAACTAGAAAACACTCCTGTCAACTAAGAACACAGAGGCGTGGGAATACATATCAGAACAAGGCTTCAGGTGTTGCAGAAACTGGAAAGTAAAGCATGAACTATGTGATTGATTACCGATTTTTACCTTGGCATTTCTCCCAGAGAAATGGGCACAAGACAGCTGGGATTTGTAAAACAGGATATGGCCATTGTAGGCTTCCCTCAGTTTTCTTTCAGTTTCAGGCTCCTCAGTTTGAGCAGCTTTCACTGAGTTAGTTGAATCTTTTAACTCTCTCCTCCCCAGCTAGAAGGGGTTCAGTTTGATCCAACTTGTAATGGGAGCTGCATCACCCTCGTCCACCAAGTATGCATCCTAACCAATGAGATTATATTGTGCTCCCCTGGTATTTAGGCTTCCAGGTCAAGATATTAGCAGAAAGTAATCTTGCCTCTTCCTAGCAGTGTAGCAAGTGATCCCCCTAATCGATCATTATAAATGAGTTTCCTTCCTGCATGTAACAAGAGGATTTTATGAATGGGTGTTTTCTCTAACGCTGCTGGGGTTGTAAAACAGGCTTGCATGTTATACAGGGAACCCCATGTTCCATTGTCATAATAGCTCTCAGACTTTTTAATACTATACATTTGGAATGGAAAAAACTTTGCCTTAAGAAGCATTTCACTCATTCTAATAGAATCATCATACACATTATAACTTACTGTGGACAATGTTTAAAGAAATCTAAACATTTTAAACAATGCATCTTTGCACTATGTGCCAGGATTGTCAGCATCCACATAGGGAACTGTCTTACATTAAAATCTTCACATTGCATATTCAAAATGCATAAAATGTTGTCTTTAAAACCATTCATTCTAATGAGAAAATTTTCTGTAAGAGTTATTCCTCGGCACTTCCCCAAATTTCTAGTTTTCCCATCAGAAAAACTGGGGGGGGGGGGTTTCCTCTGAATTTCAGGTTTTTTTTCTGGGCTTTCATATCTCTAGGTGGTAGCCACCAGCCAACTACAAGACCACCTTGCCTGTTTTCTTGAAATGTGGGGTGGGAACCAACGCTCCCTCTAAGCTGTGGGGTCTTTTGAGCAAAAATTCTACTCTGTGAGTTACTGGCATTAAGGCTGTGAGCAAGTGATTTGGCTACTGCATAAATTAGTTTGCTCTGGAGCCATCCTTCCTGAACTAAGACAAAAATGTGTGAGCCAGAGGCTACAAAACTGAGCTAGCTCACACTAACTCAGCTTAGAGGGAGCACTGGTGGGAACCACAGTGTGGAAGGTTGCTCAGCCACAGGTGGCATGTGAAAGGGCCAGATATGGCTCCAGAGCCACTGAGAGAGTGCTGCTCTAAATCTACACAGGCTGCGGTCACACACACTAAATAATCCACTTTCAGTGTACTTTCCAACTGGATTTTGACAGTTCACACAGTAAAATCCTGTTAGAAAGTACACTGGAAGTGGATTGAAAGTAGATTATTTGGTGTGTGTGACCGCAGCCACAGACTAAGGACTTGAAGGAGAAACTAGTCATTTATTTCTAAGGACATCACTGAGGAACTTCAGAAGCCTAGCATAGCAGTTGGTAATGTTGACCTTTCAGTTAGAAGCTCTCATCCCAGCCAAACACCTTTCTCTATCATGGTTAGGATGCTGTAACAGCCTTCCTTGGCTACAAAAACTGCATTCTCTTGTCCCTTTACAGCTCTTTTTGTTGGAAAAGTCACTCGATTTGTTGTGTCTTTAAACTTTACAAAAGTCATCCTCCCTTCTCATTGTATACAGAGGGTCTGAAAGACCCTTGTTATGTCCTATGCATTTTGCATACACAAAGCCAGAACTTTCAGTGTCGTGCTGTTAGTTGGGGGGAAAATGTTTCTCATATAGTTACATATTGCTTTACCATAGCAATAAAGGATCTTGAGGTCCTTGAAAGCTTTCTTGATTTACTGGCTTATTTTGTTTGAAAGGCAGTCAGTTTTTTAAATAAATAAGATGGGATTTGTCTGCCAGTAATCTTTCTTTCTTTCTTTCTTTCTTTTTGCTTCCCATTGCCAGTAATCTTTCAAGGATGTTGATATCATGCAGTTTTTGAAACCCACATGGTGCCTCCTTATGCTAGTGTATATAAGCCAAGAAGTGAAATACTTGAAATAGGAAGCAGATTGACCTGGACTTTTTCAGTGTTTAAGATGAGTTATCAGTATAAAGTTAAAATAGCACAGACGGTAAAATGTCAGTACTGGGTAAGACATCATGATTGTCTTGGTCTTCCTTCATGTATATTCTGTTCTCACAAAGCATGTTTTGTTTTTGTTCTTGTAGCGGCATCCTACACAGACAGCTCTGATGATGAGGTTTCCCCTCGAGAAAAGCAGCAAACTAATTCCAAGGGCAGCAGCAATTTCTGTGTTAAAAATATCAAGCAGGCAGAGTTTGGACGCCGAGAAATAGAAATAGCAGAGCAAGGTAAAGGATGTGCTGTTGGACTGACTTCCTTTGGTTTTTAAGAATTATATTAAAGCTAGGGTACTGCCAGGCAATAGGGATAGGCATGAACCTAAAAAAGGCAGTTTGTTTCAGGGTTTGGAGCAGCCTCCGAACTGACCCGAGCCAAATAGGACCCACCCAAACCAGTCTTGAAAGTTTGCCCTGGAAAGAACTTCCCTTTCTCCTGGCATGGCTTTTCAGGGGCAGGGATCACCGTGGAATGGACTCCCTTCCACCTTTCTCCCGGCCACAGCTCACCCTGGCCAGGAGAAAGGTGGAAGGGAATCACCCTGGAAGGGACTCCTTTCCGCTTTTCTCCCGTCCAAGGCTCGCCCTGGCCAGGAGAAAGGGGGAGGGGAATTGCCCTGGAAGGGACTCCTTTCCACCTTTCTCCTGGTTGTGGCTCACCCTGGCCTGGAGAATGGGAGACGGGATCGCTGGGGAAGATGCTTCCCATCTCCCTCGCTCTTGACCGCTCAACAAGGAGAAAAGGAGACTGGATTGCTTGGGAAGAGGTTTCCCATCACCCACTCTTCTGTTGTGCAGCCAGGAGAGGGGGGGGGGGGATTGCCAGGAAAGGTGCTTCTCATCTACCTCTCTCCTGGCTGCGTAGCCAGGAGAAAAGGAGATGGGATTGATGGGGAAGAGGCTTCCTATCTCCCTCTCTCCTGGCTGCACCCCCTTCACTTTTTCTCAGGAGATTCCTCCCTTCTCCTGGCCATGTGGCCAGGAGAGAGGGAGATGGGACGCCTCTTCCCCGTTGATACAGTCTCTTTTCTCATGGCTGACACAGCCCGTTTAAAGAGACTATGCCAGGGAGCTAGAAGCAGCTGCCAGCTCCCTGGTGTAGCCCTTTTAAATGGGCTGCACGAGCAAACCCAAGACAGCTGGGCCAGCATATAGACAGCTCTCCACACCGGCTCTGCTGCCTTTGGCTCCCTGGTGTAGCCTCTTTAAATGGGCTGCATGAGGGAGCCTGCAGTTGGGATGATAGGGAGAGCTGTGCAGTCAGGAGAGAGGGAGATGGAATGCCTCTTCCCTGGTGATCCTGTCTCCCTTTCTCCTGGCTGGTGCAGTCCATTTAAAGGGGCTATGCCAGGGAGCCAGAGGCAGCTGCTGGCTCCGTAGTGTAGCCCCTTTAAACAGGCTGCGCTAGCGAGCCCAAGACAGCTGTGCAAGCACGGAGAAGGCTCTCTGCACTGGCTTAGCTGCCTCTGACTCCCTGGTGTAGCCCCTTTAAATGGGTCGCATGAGGGAGCCTGCAGCTTTAATGATGGGTAGAACGCTCCTTGCCATCCCAGTTGTAGGCTTCCTCATGCAGCCCAGTTTAAAGGGGCTGCAGGAAAAAGCCCAAGACTGCTGAACTGACAGGGAGAGCTCTCTGTACCAGGGAGCCCACAGCAGTTGGTGGGGAGAGCTTTCCCCACCGGTTCTGCTATCTTGGACTCCCTCCTACAACCCCTTTAAACCAGGCTGCATAAGGGAACCCACAGCTGAGAAGGCAGGGAGAGTTCTCCCCACCTATCAGTTGTTGGGTTAATTGGCTCAGAGCTATTTAAACCCTGTTTTCTGCTCCCTGTGAAAAGCTGTGGGGAGCTCAGTGCAGGGTTAAATGACTCCAAGCCATTTAAACCAAACAGCTGAGTGGTGGAGGAAAATCCCAACCCCTCAGCTGTTCTGCTCTTCACAAAGGGTTAAAAACCAGGAAAATCCCAACCCCTCAGCTGTTTCTGCTGAAGACCAGAACGCATGGGTGTGTTCTGCTCTTCACAAAGGGTTAAAAACCACCATGAACTGCCCTCCCCCCCAATTTTGGAGAAGTTTGTTATAGTTTCTCAGTTCACGAACCTTAGTTTGCGAATTCCGAACCAGCCAAAATTTGTGACAAACTTTGGTTTTTCAGCCAGCTTGTGCCCATTTCTACCAGGCAATCATCTTACTAGACTAGGTGTTGACAATAATCTTACTAGCCTAGGTTTTTTGAAGTGTCAGTAAATAATGTAAACTTTATTGTAAAGAAAACCCTCTGGACCATCTGGACAAGGGGTGTTAATGATGCTCCGTTTACCTAACCTTGTTACCAGCAAATGATGGTGAACACCATGTCAACAGTGTCTTTAACCGTTTGAAAACCAGAGATAAATTAACCAGCTGTGACCCCTGAAGTGTGGAGCACAGCTAGACCTTCATGCTGGATGCTTTTTGGCAACATTCATCTTTTTCCAACAGTGTCAATTTGTCCATTTGCCATTCAAGTTGGTAGGCACTGGTGGTCTTTTCTTCTCTAGAGTCCACATTAGCTAATACCTGTTCACATATGTTATGTTGCCTAAATCTGGGCAAACAAGTGGTTTTTGTGGGGGTTTTCTTCCTTAAAAGTTTTTATCTTTTCATAGATATGTCTGCTCTGATTTCACTAAGAAAACGAGCTCAGGGGGAGAAGCCATTAGCTGGAGCTAAAATTGTAGGATGTACTCACATTACAGCACAGACTGCGGTGAGTATCCCTGTTCTGCAACTTGCATGCAAGCTGGCTCTTTCTCGTAACTACTCTCTGTGCAGGTCATCTGTACCTTCCAGCAGAGGGAGATAAGAGGAAGAGCTGTATAAATACACAATAGTAATCTGACATAATCTGGTTACTGTGCCATCTGTTTGTGTGTGCATGTGCACACATGTGTCACTACTCTGCCAAGAAATCTGCATTCTGCTAGCATCAGAATCTAAGCAGAGGGAGAGAGAGAGTGTGTGTAGAGTTCAGGGTTTGTCTGATTGAGGTGCATTGCCATATACATAACTAGCCTGATAACTGTGCTTCGCTATGGTATTTAAGTTCCATAAATCCAGTTATAATACTGATGATGTGAAGTTTGAAATGTAACATTTGTTGTAGGAATTCTAATGGAGAAGATTGTGGTGTAAAAAATGAAGTGAGACATACATACTTTTTCTCTCTCTACTGAAGGACCTCTCTGTAGACTACATTGGTGGTTCTGCCCTCAGGTGCTAGGATCACCAGGCTAGCTCACTCTGGAGCAAGCCACATAGAACTGTCCATGTGAGAAGCAGTCATCCGTTAAGTCATTTTCTGCCACCTTCAGTGTCTGGCCTTGGGGCTTGTTGATGGTCATAGCAAAGCAGACCTTGAGGGGGAACTGCAGCCTCTTGAACTTGAGGGGGTTTTCATACAGTATGAGTGGTATGCGTGGTATGAACATGGCCTCCCTGATGGATTAAAGTACCTTGGCCCTGCTCCTACAGCTGACAGACACCTGCCTTTCTGATGTTGGGGGGGAGTGTGTTTAAAGGCGTCAGGGAGGCTGGGCCTGCTACAGTGCTAAAGCAATCCTGCTGAGAAAGTCTCCCCGATGGCTCTAAGGATTCTGCACCCCTTTTGACCCTTGACAGGCAGTTGTCTATCAGGTGTAGGAAGGGTAGCATATCTGAAGGAATTGAGGGGCTTGGCCAGCAGGATTGCTAAGGTGATGCTGCTTGGGCAGCCTCCCTGATGGCTTTCAACACTCTGCCCCTGCTCCTGCACCTGACAGACAACCGCCTCTCAGGTGGAGGAGGGGTGGGTGGGAGTGTGTCTAGAGCCATTGGGGAGGCTGGCCCAGCAGCATTGCTAAGGAGTTTCTGCTTGGGCGGCCTCCCTGATGGTACCACTCCTTAGAGAGGGTGGGCACACTAAACCCCCCCGGTGGGGAGAGGTGTTAGCCGACGAAACGGAATGTCCAGCTCATAAGAAGCCTGGAAAGATCTCTTCGGCATTAAGAAGCCTGTGATGGGCCAATCCGGCCAGGTGGTGGCAGTGCGTCTAAGTCTACAGCTGAACAAAAACCCCATCGGCTGCAAACGTGTACGACTTAAAAAAAAAAGATTTATATGTTGTCCTCCCTTACCCCCTATGAATCATTGTTAGTCCCTTGTTAATATGTGTAACTAAATCGCTCAGAGCCAGCAGCTCTGCAGGATTGAGCGATTAATAAATCAAAAGATATTATTATCATTATTATTATTATTATTATTATTATCATTATTATCATTATCATCATCATTATTATTATTATTAAAAAATACCATGGCCCTGCTCCTACACCTGACAGACACCTGTCTGTCTGGTATTGGGGGGGGGTGTTTAAAGGCATCAGAGAGGCTGGGCCAGCAGCAGCACTAAGGCAATCCTGCTGAGCAAGCCTCCTCGATGGCTGTAAGTATCCCACCCCCTCTCCTACACCTGACAGGTGAAGGGGAGCATGTTTGAAGCCATGGGGGAGGCTGGGCCAGCAGCATTGCTGCACCTCACAGGTGGTTGGCCATTCCTGATTTCCTCAACTGTCATTAGTCTCCTGTAACTGGTGGGGTTTTTTTACCTCAGAACACTGAGCTCTGCGGCTGACCAATCAGAGAGTGGGGGCGCAAGGAGGCAGCAGCCTGGCAGCCAGCCACATAGGAAGCAATGGGGGGAGCACATCTTACCCCTTTTGACCCATTTAGGGGTTGGATTCTTAATGAGCATCTGCATCATGGTAGGAGGGCTCTCCAGTGTTCCCTCTAAGCTGAGTTAGCATGAGCTAGCTCACAGTTTTTTAGCCTCTGGCACATACATTTTTATCTTAGCTCAGGAAGGATGGCTCCAGAGCAAACTAATTTATGCAGTAGCCTAATCACGCGCTCACAACTTTAATGCCAGTAGCTCACAAAGTAGAATTTTTGCTCACAGGAATCCACAGCTTATAGGGAGCATTGGTGTGCTCCCCAAATTCCGTGCTTTTAAGTCCAGAGGTTTGGCCTGGGCATTGAGGGAAGGGGACTTTCTTTTATATGTATGGATGGGTAAAATGAGTATAGAAGTGTGGGGACTGTGCTTCTCCTGTCCTGTTCGTTGTATTGCTTATTATTGAGTCCTTGGAGAAGTGTGGGTTGTACACTTAAATGAAGTAAATAACTTTCCAGTTCTGTGCTTGTATGTGCCAAGCCCCCAGTCAACTAATACCATTGTTCTTCATGTTGATTGTGTATTTGCTTTGTTTTGTAGGTATTGATTGAGTCACTATGTGCACTGGGAGCTCAGTGCCGTTGGTCTGCTTGCAATATTTATTCCACTCAAAATGAGGTGGCTGCTGCATTGGCTGAGGCTGGTGAGTAAAGAACAGTTGAAGGAGTCACAGATAGAAATTATATTTTTATTTACTGCAATACTTATTAGCTCCATCACACTCTTGAAAGCTTAATAGTATGTAGATGTGACGCCCCTTTCGCACTCACACAGAGTGTCTACCATCCTCAGCAATATCTCTCTCAAGTTCAGGGATATCAGTAGGTCAGGATGTTACAAGCTACCCTTCTTGTTTCTTTTAAAATATACAGAGAGCCATGACCATTTCATGCTTCAGGTCCTCTCTCTCACTCCCAGAGACATCCACGGACAGCGTAGCCCAGCAGCCTTTAATAAAAAGCCCTCACACAAAGCTGTTGGGGTTGGGGCTCAAATGCTGTTTCAGTCGCCCACTGCCACCATTCATTCATATCCTATTATATACACACACACATACATATACACACCAATATATTAAATTGTGTCTGTGTGAGACAGATTCTTTCCTTAGACATGCAGCCCTCAGTTAATCAAAACAAGAAAACATTTTTATTTATGATCTGAACAAAACCGTGAGGAAAGTAAGGTATAAGTAATAACATTTCACTTCCATTGAACTTTTGAACTGAAGTCCTGTTCCTCCAGCTGGGATCCTTTGGTTACAAATTTAGTATTTTCTGCCTGCTCGAAGCAGCTCTTCTGCACAGTTCTACTCTTGTCGGGCATCCTCCTTTCCCACCTCAGATCCTACACTGCCAACTTCTCTGCTACTAACTCCTAACTGTTGTTTTCAACGGCTGTTTTTCAAGTCTCTCTCAACATTCCATCAGCTCTCATTGGTTGCTCTTAGAGGCGAAACCTAGCCTGTCCGTCACAGTGGCATATCAGCACATATGGCTGAGTCAAAAACATGTTTAGCTCTTTTTATTTAATTCCATTTGTTATATTATTACTAGTTGACCTTTCTCACTGAAACTCAAGGCAGATTACACAGTGTAAATCAGTGCAATCAATAGGATGAGACATCTAATAAACAATGTAATGGAATTGGGAATAGCAGAAATATTTGATATTAACTGGGCAGGCTTTTGACAATCACAAATAGAGAATATATTTTGGACCCCTATTTCAGATGAAAGTGTAGTCATTGGTTTTTAAAGGATTTTTTTTCAACATAGATTTGAAGGAAAATCACCTAATGATTAAATAATTGGCACTATACATGATGTACCCTTGCTATGTGAAAAGATCCATACAAAGATACTGTTGTCATGAGCATATGCTTTATTTCCCGATCCATTTGATTACTAGATAATAAGACAAAACCTCTATCTACAGATACGGATCTCTGTTATAGGGTTGCCTGTTGCAATAGTCAATGTTGCTTCATGCAGGAACAGACCTATAGAACAGTGATTCAAGTATAGAATAGTATATAAATAAATGAACAAATAATGCTTACAAAGAAATGGATTAAATTACTTTAAGGTTAGAAAAGAGCAAGAGTCCAGCAGCACCTTTCCAGTCATCTTTCTTACCACATAGAAAGATGATTGGAAAGGCCAGAATGATACCTAGAGACAGCTTGCTACAAGGCAAGCCCAGAGAAAATGACAAGAGAACACCACTGGTGGTCACATACATCTCAAAGCTCAAGCCAGTCCAATGTATTATTGATCACCTACAAGTGACACTTGTGACACTTCCCTCACTTGGGCAGTGGGGGGGAGGCTGACCTTCCTGACAGACAGCCTGCTAACCTAAAACAACTTCTCACCTGCAATAATAAACTACTTAACAGTAACATGGATTCTGGTACTAAGGCCTGCAATAAACCAAGATGTCAACTTTGCGCTCATATAAATCCTAGCAACACCATAACTCGACCCAGCAACATCAGCCATATCATCTCAGGTTCATGCTCCTGCTCATCCTCTAATGTGATTTATGCCATCATGTGTCAGCAATGCCCTATATTTGACAAACAGGCCAGTCCCTACAACAAAGAATAAATTGGATATAAGTCTGACATTAGAAACCACAACATGCAAAAACCAGTGGGGAAACATTGTAACCTTCCAGGACATTCAGTTGCTGGCCTAAGAGTAGCAGTTCTCTTACAAAAGAATTTTAAGGAGAGATTAGAAAGAGAGACTGCTGAATTGCAACTGATAATGAAGCTTAAGACAATACGTCCTCCTGGACTGAATTGAGACCTAGGTTTCCTGTCTCATTACCAATGCTGATTTCTTCACACCTACTACCCCTCTGCGTAGCACACCTAATCCAATCAAACCTGCCATTGTCATTTACATGCAATTGTCATTTGCCTGCTATTGCCATTTGGCATCTACTTTCCAAGATATAAGGACAGATGGACTCACATTCAAGATGTATCTGAGGAATTGAGCAGCAACTCATGAAAGCTCATACACTGCCACAAATTTTGTTAGTTTTTAAAGTGCTACTGGAGTCTGGACTCTTGTTCTTTTCTACTGCTACAAACAGACTAACATGGCTACCCATCTTACTTCAGGGTTGTGCATGTTCAGTTAGTTTTTAAAACATTAACTTTTAGAATTTAAAAAATCCTCTAATCATAAATAGATTTGATACTTTCACTAATTTCAGAAACAAATTATTGTTGTGAAACAAACTAACTTTTAAAAGTTGTATTATTACTATAACCTGGAGGTGTTGAATAGCAGTTCTTTTTTGTCCCTGGAATGGTCTGCCTAAAGTTACAAAACCTCTTTAAAAAAAAAAATCCAGATTTTAAAACAAAAGCAAAGTAATCCCAACTAATGAAAACAAAAATCTGTTTGTGGATTCTTGTAGTTGTAGCAGGTAACCTGGAGGAAAAGCTTTGCTATGATAGCTATGATACTACGTTTTCCCCTGATTGCTGCAGGGCTTGGAGGCAAGTGACTCTCATTTCTGGCCTTGCTAAAAATGTCACCATAGTAAAATTTAAAAGGTAAGCTGCCTCCTACACTGCGGCTTTCTTGGCTCTATAGCATATTTAACTGTGGTCCAATAACAGTTAGTTGACCAGTATGTCAATCTTAATGGGCAATTTCACACCCCTCCCCCATGATCATTTAGATTAAAATGTCAGCAGTTGTAGGAAAATACCATATTATTGCTGGGCTTATGCTTGTATGACTATCTATCTGGGTTTCTAAAACTTGGTGGTGAAAAGAATGAAAGTCAAATATAGTTGCCAAATTCACTGTTCTAATATTTTTGTAAATTCCCTACATGACCAGCCTGTTGAATATTCCGCAAGTTTTGTACAAAGAAACATTCCACACCCAAGTGGACTCCCTTGAACTTGTTGGGAGAGCCTAGATTACGCTAATGAGAGCTTGTTTAGTTTTAGATTACTTACCCTATTCTGGATGCATCTCTTGCCTATAAAAACCTCAAGGTATAATACAATTATTTTTTAAGGAGGCACATGACTTTGTTTTACTGTGCTCTCTGTTCCTGCATATTCTGGCCAAGAATCCAGTCTAGAGGAATGTTAAAACTAACAAGCAAGGGATTTCAAAACATTCTGTAGATTGTACAAGACTGTACAATACTGGAGCAGGGTGGGCTGTTATTGAACTTTATCTGTAATTATACTTTAGCATCTAAAGACTGCTGCAAGAGATCAGGGTCCTCTAATTTATTCATGCTGCTGAGGTAATGACTCTTCAAATAGCCTAGTCATTCAGATTGTCTAAATGGAAGAAAACAAAAGAAGTGGGCACAAACTATGCTACTTGCTGGCTCTCAAGCATTTAGTTTAGTAGATTCTTGAATTCCCAGTCTGGTGCCCTAACATAGCTTCTTTCAGACATACAATATGTAGACAGCTTCAGTTACATGTATTGGTGCAGATGAAGCTGAAGTCTAGGGCAAGAGCATCTTGCCTTGGCTTCTCTGCATCAATACTGGCTTAATGCCAAATGTGCTTCAACCAAATGCAACACATTTTTTTTTCTTATTAGGTGTTGCTGTGTTTGCCTGGAAGGGGGAATCTGAAGATGATTTTTGGTGGTGCATTGACCGCTGTGTTAATGTGGATGGATGGCAGCCCAACATGGTAATTTATTTATATTTATTTATTTACAAAATCTACATCCCAACTTTCTGCCTTTATAAGGCCTGCCAAGACGGCTAACAATTTAAATCATACATGATAAAATCACATTTAAAACCACTAAAATAAACTCCAAACATACCTCACGAAGAAGTGTGCATGCACACGAAAGCTTATATCCAGAATTAGACTTTGTTAGTCTTAAAGGTGCCACTGATCTCAAACTATGTTCTGTATACAATGAAAACAATTTTTAAAAGATTTAAAAGTAGTTAAAACAGTTAAAATATATACAAAACATAAATAATTGGTTAGGAAGGAGAGCTCGTTGAGAGAATGCAAAACAAAACAAAAATCTTTACTTGCTGGAGTAAGCTGGCAACAGAAGGGGACAGACAAATCTCCCTGGGCACAGAGATGTTAGTACAGTTGACCATTGCCATACTCTTCAGTTTATTGTAAACAAATATACCAGCTCAAATCATGGCATGTCGACTGTGGCCTTTATGGATTTTAGAGCTGCCTTGGACTCCGTACCTAGGCAAAGATTATGGGAGAAGACCAAATAAATTATCTATTGACAAGTGTCTCCAATTTTTGATTGGCCTACAGCTCAAGTAAGATGTGGTCCGTCTGGAGAACTGACTAGAACGATTGTATTGAGCAAAGGAGTGAAGCAAGGATGTATCCCCACTCCTCTGTTATTTAATTTGTATATCAATGTTCTAAGATCTTATATTTCCAGAGATGAATTCCATCTGCCTTATCTTGCTCATGTTAAGGTGCTGTATCTTTTGTAGAAGCTCTTCTCTCAAGATCCGTATGTAAACTTACAGCCTCCTTTTCAAAAGTATTGCTCCAAAGGGGACTATTAATGTTTCTAAGTGCAAGGTCCTTCTCTTTAGTAAAAAAAAAATCTACAGACAAGGAAATATAAGTGGGCAGTAGCAGATCAGTCTATGGAGCACGTAAGGTAAAAAGGTAAAGGTTCCCTTGCTCGAAAGCCAGTCGAGTCCGACTCTAGGGTTGCGGTCCTCATCTCCATTTCAAAGCCGAAGAGCCAGCGCTGTCCGAAGACGTTTCCATGGTCATGTGGCCAGCATGACTAAACACCAAGGCGCACGGAACACTGTTACCTTCCCACCGAAGTGGTACCTGTTTATCTACTTGCAATTTCTTGTTCTCGGACTGCTAGGTTGGCAGGAGCTGGAACTAGAGACGGGAGCTCAGTCCATCATGCGGCACACTCGGGTCTCGAACTGCTGAACTACTGACCTTCCACAGCCTGCAGTTCAGTTATATTTCAAGGGAATCAGTCTTGGAAGGTGCATTTCAACTCTGTTATAAGAACAGCCATGAGTACTGGGAAGGCTGTTTTGAGATTTTATTATTCCTCTGGTGGATAATATGTTCCTGCAGTAGTTAAAGCATTTAACACTAAAGTTTCTGGGCAGTTATTGTATGCTGTAGGGGTCTGCATTAGTGTGGTAACAGATAATATTGTTGGATTGTTACTAAAATTTTATACAACATTATGTCTGGGTATTACCAATAATATGATAGAAACTATGAATAGCTCTGAATTGAGTCAGTCAATTAAAAGATGTTTGAGGGATCTTGATTATAAAAGTACAAGTGGAGACCCGCAAGAAACTTGCAGGATGGTTATCCTATTCCTCACACCTTTGCTTCCTCCTGTCTCCCCCTACCTCTCTCACACT